GGGGGGCGCATTATAATCTTGAGTTCTTGTCTTATGTACAGTAGAATTGCAAATTATAAATGGGCTGATTAATCAATGTCATGCTTATTATTACATGTACTATCTACTGTGCCTGAACTGCAACAGGGAATTGCTGCTTTTTCTTTCCTAATCCTCACTATTTTCATTTTCCCTCTACTTATTTTGTATTGACCGCTCTTTCCGGGGTGCCTTGATAATCGAAGCAGACTTTGTGCTGTTGAAGCTAGAGAGGTGAGCAGAGTAAGCCTGATTCCCTGTAAAGACTTCTCTGTGGACATCCACCCCTTGGCGCTCATAGGACCTTATTATGCAGTTGCGAGAGCCGTAAAATCTCTACTAAAACCAAAACAAGATAAAGTTATTTCATCAATTTGTTTAAAATGTCCCAACTGAACATGTGTGTCCACAGGCCAGCTTTGAGCAAGTCGAGGTGAAACAAGAACCCCCAGATTCTGCCGAGGAGGACATGGAGGAGGGAGGAGAGGAGGCAGACGACGGAGAGGAAGAGGAGGAGGATGAGGAGGAGGACGAGGAAGAGGCTGCAGAGAACTACACATCTGGCTCGGAGGATGGAGAGTTAGTGAGGAGGGAGGAACAGGTGAGGATTTTGAACACAAAGTTGAAAGGGGCATAAACCTTTAAAACCCCTGCTTTCTTTTTTTTAGTTTTAATAAGAGTAAGAGTTTTACGTCACTTGCAACACAATAAGGTCATATAAGTGCCAAAGATTAGAGGTGTTACAAGAGAGTTAAAAAACACGAAAAAGAAGGAGAGATAAAGACGATAGATGTTTTGATAGGAAAGAAGGCGCAAACCACACCAGAGCACCCACCAACCACCCACCCCTGCTTTCTGCCCACCTCGAACTATACCCGTATGTTTTATAGCTTTCAATATGTATAATATTGTATACTTTCATATTTCAGTATCAAGTTCTATTTCTGAGGAAATGTGGCTTTTAGTTCAGTATAACCATTCTTTTTTGCTATGAACTTCAACATGAATTAACAACGGTAGTGGAAAGACAAGCTGAAGTACATTACAATACTCTTCTGCTACTACTAAACTAGTATGTAGGCCTACTAATTAGTTCAAGTCATTTTCTTGTGTATAAATGTTGCTTTTCCTTCAGATCACGAAAACGTATTGTCTATGTGTTGCTACTTGTGAATCTAAAGTGCTTTGAACTTGTGTTCTCTAATCAGGGTAGAGTGCTATATAAATGTCATATACATGTACTGTTATTACATGTATTCTTAAATTATTAAGCTTCACGGTGTGTTCTCAAACTCAGAACCTATGACGTTGGTGGCCTAGCGGTTAGGCTACCGAACTCGTAATCGTGAGGATACGGGTTCATCAGGGGTTCAAGCCGCAGACCCAACGTTGTGTCCTTGGGAAAGGCACTTAACACCAATTTTCCTCACTTCACCCAGCTAGATGGGAATGGGTACCCTGCCGTAGACAGCAAAAGATCTTGTCACTGTGTTAGTGTTTTAGAACCTATATGACAGCTAGCACTGTATGCTTCTCAAGAAGTTGACATTGTTTCAGAATGATCAGGTCTGCCAGGGTAATAGTATAGAATGTAAAGCACATAGAGCTTGTTCACTGGTAATTTGTGCTATTGCTATATATAAATGTTGTCTATTATCTGTTATTATTACATTGTATTCTTTTCACTGCAGAGCTCATCAAGTCAACCGACAGTTCAAGTGAAACAAGAGCCAGTCAGTGACACCGAAGAGGGCGGAACTACCTCCGGAGTGATGACGTCGCAGTCGACAGGGGAGGAGGAGGAGGCCGGGAATGAGGACAACAACGATGATGAAGACGGTGATGAGGAAATGGAGGACGCGGAGGGGTCGCTGATGGCATCGGTGGGAGGGGAGGGTGAGGCCGGGGGAGGGGATATGGTGCTTCCCTCCATCATGATGGACCAGATGGAGCTGCTGGAGCTGGAGATGAGGGCCAGGGCCATTAAAGCCATGCTCAGTTCTCAGGATGAGGAGAACGGGTAGATATTATGTGTACATGTGGATGTTTGTGTGTGGGTGAGAAACGAAGAGAGAGACTATAGAGAGATGAGGGCCAGGGCCATGCTCAGTTCTCAGGATGAGGAGAACAGGTTGATCTGATGTGCGTGAGAGTGAGAAACGGAGAGAGAGAGAAAGAGAGAGAGACCATTGCCATGCTCAGTTCTCAGGAAGAGAATGGGTAGATTAGATACATATTATTATGTGTGGGTGAGAGACAGAGAGAGAGAATTGGTAGAGATACACAATGAGAATAGTATTTTGTTTTGTGTGTGAGAGAGAAGCTGTAGTTGTGGATTGCAAATGGTCAGTTCTCACTCACAAAGAGGAGAATAGGTAGATCCTTGACAAAGGCCTTCATCTAGTTGATCTAGGTGTTTGAGGAGAGAGATGGAGAGGAATAAACAGGCGTGGGCCGTGTAGGTTTTATATGCCATGCACATTTCTCAAGATGAGAATGGGTAGATACATGTGTGTGTGAGAGAGAGGGAGCAGAGAGGCACAGAAAATAGAGGAATCAAGCCATGACCAGTTCTCAGGAGGACTGGTAGAGAGGAGAGTGGAAGATGGAAAGTTGAAGTGGGGAGAGAGGAAGAGAGGGAAAGTAGCAGAAAAGTTTGTTAAGAATTAATTTTTAGAGGTGTAAAGAAGCCTCAGAGCTACTATGTTGCTCAGGACAGAGCTACGTTCACCTGTTGACCGACTGTTGTAGCTTCTTTTTGGTAAACTGGGTAGCCTGTAGCCTGTTTAAATTGACGTAATTTTTAAAAAGTAAGTATGTGCAGTTTTTACAATTTCACAGGAGAGCCAAAAAAACAAAACAACAACCCTGAATGTTGATACCAAGAAAACAAACTTTGCAAACATCCCATGTCAATATTTTTAGGGTTACAATTTTTGACTTCCCCATTATCCTGGATGTAAGTGTTGTTTTCTTGGTAACAGCATTCAGGTTTTTGGCTCTCTTGTAAAATTGTAAAAACTGCGTACATGTACTAGTACTATACTTTAAAAAATGATGGCAATATACATCATGTAGGGTGCGTCACAGAGTGTGTTTGTGTGTATGTGCCCACACTTACATCATAAGAGAGAATCAGAGGACCAATGTCAAAGTGCGTTCAGACCCAGGATCCACCTCCGTCCATGCATGTATCAGATGACTGGAGACGCCGTGTTTATGCCTCTCTGTACTTTATGCACTCATTGAGGTCACACGACTGGTCTATTTTTGTAATTGCTCAGGAACTGACGAACTACTGTCAAATTCTATTATTATATTAAGTGTTTTCGCATCAAAATTTGACCAGAAGTTTAAATATATCAGATTTAACCGGGTTTTTTTTTTAATGTGTTCTAAGAAATTAGCCTGGTTGAACTTGCCCCAATACATAGGACTTGATGGCAGAAATTTTACGGCCGCCATAAAAAGCAAACTACACTGGCGGACATCGACTTCCCTCACCTTCTTTTGATTTTAGTAGTAAGACTTACAGCACTTGCAACAGAATTAGGTCTTTCAAGTTCAAGGTTAGAGGTGTCACAAGAGGAGCAATAAAAACATGAAAAAAGGAGAAATAAGGACAGTAGATGTTTGATAGGAAAGGACCAAACCATACCAGAGTGCCTGCCAGCTTCATTATGCAGGGCCGTGGGGATAGGAAAACAATTTATTTGTGTTGAGGTACTAGAATTAAACTGGTCATGGCATGCAACAGGACACCAACAGACATGGATCTTTGGTCTGAATGCACAGTTATGTCTACAAGTTCTGCATCCATGTGTGTGTTTTTGTGTGAAGCAGAAATGTGGGCAGTAGAGTAAGTGTACCACTACTGGCACAAAGAAATGTAGGTTACAGGTACTCTTCCCGACTGCCAAGTCAACCTGTATGAACGTACATGATGTAACATAATGGAAGTACTGTCTGATGCGGTCACCAAGTAGGAATGGATATTTTAACTTTTTTATACCTTGAGAGTTGTTATTGTTCTGCAGGTCAAACCAGGAAGATTTCTGTAGAATGGAAAACATAGTTTTGTTTGCTTTGAGGTTGTTTTTTTAAGTCAATAAAAATTGCTGGTCATTGCCATAAAAATAAAATTGGTTTACATGTCCCTTTCAAAATTGTATGTTTGTTTTAAGAGATAGGGTCTTTTAAGTTTGTGTCCAGCTCCAATACAACCGAGCCATGTGGATGGAGAGCCTTATAAACAACCCAAGTTCAGAACATCCCCATTAGGGATTTGAGCTAGGGCCATCTGCTCCATTGTCCAGCAGGATAGTGACGCCGAGCTAAGGTGCACCAGGAACCCTGAGGCATGTCATTTTGAATGAATTTGTGTATAAGATGGTTGTTTGACTACCGGAACAGAGATATGTACTGTTGACAAACTGTTCAAATGTACCATGCCCCCCAAAAAATTAAATTTTTTTAGAGAATAGAGGAAAATTTTCATTCCTTTATCGGTACTGTTGTAGGCCTACCTACATTGTTTTTTTTTAAATACTTTTTTCAACATTTGGAATTTGAATTTAAAGAAAATATTTCTAGAGCACATGATGTTTTACAGCCCGTTTGACACTATTTTAGGTAGTTTAGGAGGCACGCTGTTTGGATCACACTTGCCCAGTCTGGGTGACGTACAGCATCCATCACGAAGACAAATATTTAATAAAGCTAGCAAGTGCAATAGCAAAAATAAGGCAACATGAAAAATGAGGAAACATTGTAGAAAGAACTGACAAAATGAGTTACTTCTCATGATCAATGAGTGCAGATCTCAACCAAATATCCATGCAGGTAGTATCTCAAATTTGAAAATATTCAATTGATATCATTTTCTTCATTAGTTTTGTCATTTCATACTAATAAACTGTACAAACTCAACCTATAAATTTGACATATATCCAAGTTCATTGAGCTAAAATTTGAGAAGTAACTGATTTTGTCAGCAGGCGTCAGATTAGTGTTTCAAGCCACATATCATTATCACATCAAAGCATAAGTCAAAAACCAAAATGAGGAATTAATAATTTATTGCATTTGTGACATACACTTTACATGAAACAATCACAAATACCTGCGCTGACCTCTTTTTAAAAAAATTGCAGCCCCCTTTTTTCTAGAATTTCCAAACCAATTGTATTTTCCTTCCCAAAAAAATGCTTCGACTTTTTCAAGTGTGAAAGTATAATAATGCTACAACCTGCAAGACATTTTTTTTAATATACTGAAAACTTAAGAGGAAGAAGAATGACTCTCACACAAACCATACATGACTCTCACATAAACCATACATAACTCTCACTCTTCCTAGCACTTCATGTTCCATTCAGGCACACATGTACATGTTCCAATCACCTCACATATCCAAGTATATATACAAAGACAAAATCTAACCGCTTTCCCGCTTTCCAATTACGTCCTCTCAAGAAAATAAGTCTACAAAAAAGTCATAAGTTGCCTGAAAAATATTTCTTTTGGTCCAAAAATGATCTTTTCTGTCGAAGCAAAATGTGAAGAATTCGGGACGTATGACTGGGGAAGAGCAAGGAAGACAGACAGAAATAGAAGAGTGATAGGCGAAAGAAACAGGCCCTTCCAACCAGTGGCGTCGTCTGACCATCTGACCATCCGCCATTAAAAAAAAGTCCTCCCTTCCCGAGACGTAACTGTATGGCAGTCGTGAACAAAGAAAAACCAATCCAAAAAAAAAATTATTTGATTAAAGACTGAAGACGTGTCACTCTGGGCATTTGCCTCGTGCTGCTCTGTTCCAGCCAGCGTGTCCATTGTGAGTAATCACTCTTGTGACCACTGGTTCTGCAACAAGATTAAACAAAATGCCATCATCAGCCTGAGGTGTACACATTTTTTCAAAAATACGGACAAAAGTTCAGTTTACAAAGGGAGTGCAGCTTCAATCTCAAAAGACTTCTAGAAAACTTACATGGCTATTTATAAAAATATAAAACTATAAGTGAAAAAAAAACTTCAATCCCACATTCCGAAACAAGTGCTAAAAAAAAAAGTGGAATATTTTACAAACTACTGTACTACCTGGATATGACATCCTCTTGTGTTTAAGCAGCACTACTAAACAACACAAATTCATTTCACAGCTGTCACAGGAATAATAAACTCTTTGTTAGCTGAATGAGTAGGCCTACAGGTTGAAATCAGTTTTGGACGGTGGATTAAAAAACTATGAAATGAGGTTTCTGAGCATGTTTCGATATGGATGAGAAACAAGAATGGAAATCTGTTTGATGCATCTCTTACACGTGTTCATTTGTCAACATAACAGTGCATAATCCTATACTGCCGTAAGCTGAAAAACTACTTTTTTTTCATATTTTGGTGCCAACTTTTTTAAAGTGCTAAATCGAAAGCCTGATCTACACTACTTGTGTGAAAAAATCAAAGTGAAACTGTGACTAGATTTTGAATATGGAATTTAAATTTCGGAAGAACGCCTTTTTTCAATGATTACGCCTCTTTACAATTAACAACGAAACTGCTCTAAATTTTTTTTCAAAGGCGCTTCGTAAACTTATGGCAGTATAGCTGATCAGCCATGTAACTCCTCATTTGATCCTCATTTAAACACACCACATAAAAGTACATCAGGTGGCGCAACGCACAGTATCGATCTTGCCCATTCAGTCTGGGTGAGATGCAGTATCCAACCAGGAGGATGGAGACATTCAATAAAATAAACTTTCCTACGGAAAAGTAAAACTCATGTCTTTACTGTATTGTGACAATGGATTTGCCAAAATCAAATTGTCAGCATTGCTTATACAATGGCAGACCACCATATCATAAAGGAGAGTAAATGCATCCACAAATTTCGTTACAAACAAAACATCACAGCCTCACAAAGTAAGAGAGAAAAAATAAGGAAGTTTTTTTTTCCTTTTCAAATTAATTCAACACTTGATAAATGTGAGGCAGCGTGGTAAAATCAGGCGCTCATCAAAATAATCAGTGAAGAAACAGGCATTTTCATGCAGGTTTTGAAATTTGTCGAATTTTAGTTTTTTGACTCAACACCTTTCAGGCCCATTAATAAAGAACACATTTCTATGAGAATTGAACTGAGAAACATAGATTAAAGGCCTAAAAGATGTAAATTTTCAGTTTCCACAGACTCTCAAGCAAAGGAAATAACGCAACTTTGACGGCCATTTTCTGGCTTATTTTTCTCTCTGAAACCAGTGACCCCCCATCTCCTTCAATTGTCAATTTGATCTTGACTTATACAAAGGATAAATAGATCTTTTTTCTCACCAAAAGCAAGGCAAATGATAGACTTTAAGACGATACCAATAACTCCATATGCCCCAAAATTGATGAGCACCTGATTTCACTGCGTCGTGACACAAATGACTTGGTCCATTATCATAGCATACAGATATTATACCACAAAGACTTACTTTTTAAACGTATTTTTAAAATTATCATAAATGACTAGCATGGGTAAAAGTTTGCAGGCTGTGACTGAAAATTCCAGGAAAAGAAAGGCTGTCTTTGACTGGACTAGCGTCGATCTCGTAAAGCACGGGTTTCTTTAGTTTACCTGACAACTGTCTCAAATAAGTCTGACTTTTAACTCAGCTACTCGAGTTTGAGCAATATGGTGTGCTACAGTTTCAAGCAGTTTTTTGTGGTGGCTGATATATCCGCTTAATTATTCGATACTGGGATCCACCTTCCATCATTACAGAGTAAATATAACAAGTACATACATCGAGTCTTCGTTCGCATCCATATGATACGGGTTTTCGTTTGTAAACGCTTTTTCAAATTTGTCAACAGTACAGTACTGGGGTGATTCGATTATACTTTCAAGAAAGGCCCCTGAGATGCTATGAGTTTGAAAGTTTTCAGGCAAAATCAGGGATGCCACGCAACTTTTTGAAAATAGCTGAAAAACCATGCGCCACGGTCTCGCTAACATATATGAATTATATCAATTTGAAACCCATTAGCGCAAATTTTCCGGGGGGTTTTTCTCCCCGATATTTGAACTTATGGCAAAGTCTTCGTTTTTCCGTAATTAGAATATTTAGCCCAAGTTGTGTATGCGTAGGTTTTTGGGGGGGTTTTTTCAACTATAGATTCTATCTCGATCTCAATGACAGAATAGCGGATCAGGATCAAAATACCGCAAATACCACCAAAAAAAAAAGCGGAAAAGTGGCATCCCTGCAAAATGGTTGCCAACTTTTACCCATGATGACTAAACAATTATGGCAGCGCATAGGCCAAATATAGCAGGAGACTACTCACATCCTGGTTGCTGCGATTGCCGAGCTTCTTCTCAATGTTGAAGGCCAACATCTGTGAGCGCATGGACAAGTTCTTCGTCTTCTCGATCACCTGCTGGTAGGGAGACACGGCCTGTGTGCCCATCACAACATGGCCCTGGAGGGGAGGGGAGAGAGAGACAGAGAGACACATTGGGGATTAAGAAAGTGCCAGAACAAACCTGTATGCAGAGATGCCAACCACAGAAAACCGAAATGAGTATTGGGAAATATGAAAATGTGTATTTTCAGGGGAAAATGTGTATTCCCCACGACCGACCGACCGACCGACCAACTAGTAAAATGTTCAGGGTGTCCAGCAATATTTCCTGAAAAAAAATTACTAGCTCACCTGCTCGAAAAAGTGAGCACACAC